GTCTCCGTGTGTTTATGTTTCCTCTGAGATGGCTGTGCAGGCTCGTCTCTTTTTTCCTGTATTTACAAAAGTTGTTCGTGTAGGTCTGCCTCCAAGATTCAGTGTAAAAGAGGATTGTGTGATACTGACTACTATTTTACAATTTGAAATCTTGGTTTTCTCCTTTTATGGTATGTTCTTCTCAGCCTTTTAAATTTCTGTGGGGAACAAAGGAGGGAACATCAGAATTGAAGTGCATTATTGGCAAAAGAGAATTCAGCAGTTCTAATCATTAAGATGTAAATAAATTCATTCAGAGCATTTTGATGCAAAATGCATCATTCTGGGTAAACAGAGTCAGAATTACTCACAATGTTGGTGACAGGAGCCAAACATCAAAAGTATTTACCCAGCAAACACAGTTATGTTGTGATAACATTGTGACAATATATTGTTCTGTTGCCCACATTGAAATGTAATTCCTGGCCATTTCAATAGTAAATAAAATGGTTATGTTTGCATTGTAGACATTGCGACCCCTTGGTTTTCTAACCAACCTGTATAGCAATCTAAGTAGGTCATTTTCTCTACAATGCAGAATTTCACACCAAATGACTCTGAATAACACTGTCTACATTTCAGCTACTGAATTTAGCAGATCTTTTGAAAAATCTGTGGAATTTCTTTTTAACCAGGCTTAGCTGAGTATTTTATTTTTTTTTTTGGTAAAATGACTACACTAATTTTTTCTCCAATTTTTCCTTTGGAAATGGAATCTCCTTTAGCCCAGTGGTAAAGCAGAGAGCATTGTCTGTGCTTGCCTGGAAAATGTTGGTGTTCACTTTGGAAACACACACACACACACACACACACACACACACACACACACACACACACACACCAGTCCACATACGTAGCTCATTTCCGTATATTGAAAAGAGTGAGATGTGTTTTCCAGTAGTGCTTCTCAGTGGAATGTGAAATGAGTAAACAGTTACCATTGCAGAAGCCAGAGCACAGACAGTGATCTACTGCACATATCTGTACATATGCCTCACACTGGGAGGACAGTTGCATCATAATCATCCTTCTAACTGGTGCATGACACGGCAGTATACTTTTAGAAGCTGTAAAAACACCTTTAATAATGCTGTTTATTGCCAGTCAGCTTAAGTGTTTCCTTAGACTAAATTACAATTGAAAATCCTAAAATTGTTTTAGTCAAAGACTGGACTCAGTACGAGTCTCCAGTTGGATTGGTGAAAAACCTAAACAATTTTAACAGACTATCAAAAAAGACTGTTACAGAGGACTCAGGAGTAGGGCTGTAACGATGCATTGTGGTACTGTAATATCACAATGCAAAGCTGTGACAATGTGCATTGTGGAGAGTGGTCATTCTATTCATCATGCCATATTATACAATAGTTCCAAAGGCACAATCGGTGTGGTTGAGAAAAGTCCTACAGTATTTTTTTTCTCTATGACTGTATCATTCCTCTGAGCACTGTTGCTAAGCAGCCACTTGCTTTATGCTGCAACTACCCTTTTCTATTTTTCTACTTTAGCACATACAAAAACAACACAAATAGATAAATTAGATAATATTTGACCTGCAGTCCATTAGTTCATATTCTCAAGGAATGTGACAGCTGGCCTACATAATATTCTGAACCTGTTGTTGCCCAGTCGGCAGCTGTAATGGTGGAACAACAAACTAGAAATGAAATGTAGTTACAGACTTGCTGGACATTTAGGGTAATCTGGCAAATATGGAAAAAGCTGAGCTGAACTTGATATTGCAACAGCTTTATGGCTCTCTCTGTAATACAAAAGGCTAACTTAGTACTTTTTGATAGAAGGAAAATTGCAAAAATTAAAGCCTTTGCGATAAAATGTTCAGGGCTTCTTTGTTTCATTTCTGCAGAACTGTTAAAAGCAATAGAACACTTGAGGCTGTGTGTTTTTATAAGTAACATCATGGATGTGTTGGTTTGGTTTAAGAAATTTCCCACTCAGTTTGTTCTCACCCACATTTAGCCCAAAATTTCTCATTTTTATTACAAGATCACATCTGGTCCTGTGAAACTACATGCCTCCCAGCTCTAATGCTGCTGCAACACCATGATTATTGTCATTAAAATATTGTGAGCACAAGGAATGGTGAACCCAATACCATGAATCGAAACCAAATTGTGGGCTGAGCATATCATTACCAGGGTTGGGATGTAATGGATTCAAATATTTGGAGTACATATTAAAAATACTAAAATTAAGTATCTGTATTCAGTCCAAGCTACATTTTGTAAAGACAGCATTCAGAATACAGTTACTTTTTACATTTTTAAGGCAATACTTTTAGAAAACATACCCATAAATTAAAATATATATACCATCTTTGAAAGAAACACCATCAGTGCTCAGTAAATATTTTAAAATCAGCACACAAAATGTAAAAGTGTACTCTAGCTCAGAACTCAAAAGGCTTCTTTACAAACACACAAGGTCCTACTGAAGCCCAAGGAGACTCGTAAATGACTGTTATTAGTCAGTGGAAAAAAACTTAGAGTTTATTATATTAGTATTAGTTTATATATATATATATATATATTAGGTTTTTTTTATTTAGTAACCTCAGTAAATATTTTAAAATCAGCCCACAGCATATAAAGGTATATTCTATCTCAGAACTCAAAAGGCTTCTTTACAAACACAGAAGGTCCTACTGAAGCCTGAGTAGACTCATAAATCACTGTTATTAGTCAGTGGAAAACAACTGTGAGTTTATTATATTAGTATTAGTTTATATATATTAGGTTTTTATATTTAGTAACCTCTTGAGGGATGACTGAACAGTCTCCTCAGTAGTGCACATGTTCATGAGTGATAAGCCTAGCTTTGGTATTTGACTGGACTTGTGCATGTGTCCCATGGTTACATAAATATTATTAACTGATATTCACACAGCTAATCACTTTAAAGACAAATTGTGAGATTTTGTTGCTGGGATATGGTGCATTATTGTCTTAAGTCATGAAAGGGCAGTGGGATTATGAGAGCAGCAGTGAACTGAAGAAACAGATGAGAGGCAAAGTAATACTGAGGATTTTATATTCATTTTGGTATTCATTTGAATAACTGAATTTTTCATGAAACATTAACAGAAGAATTACATTAACAAAACTGCCAACAGTGAGGAACAGTGTGAAATAATTTTCTCATGGACTTTTTTAATGTGTATTTTAAATGTATTCTGAATACATTACTATTTTATGCATTGTAATGGAATACATTACTGAATACATTTAGATCAGTATATCACTACTTCAGCCATCACTACTTTTTCAAAGTATTTTGCCCAACCCTGATCGTTATACCTCTATTCAGCTCAAAAAAACTGTCTAGTTCAAAACTGTGAACAGTTTAGTGATTTTAGTAATACTCAGTTTAACACATAATCCCAAATGGATATGAAAAAAAGAATTAGGTCCTTTAAATCAGGATTTTTGCATACACATCGCTCAAACACATCAATTTGGAATTTGACTTTTTCAAGTAGGACTAACAAGTTGCGCAGGAGATGGAAAATGCCTTGTGGCATCATTCACCACAGTTGCAACACAGCCAGTCATCTTGGTGGAAGAAATGAAATGCTGTGCACTCCACCTCAGTCCCAAAGCCTGTGTAGAGCCACAGTGTGTATGTAATGAGAGGAAAGAGCAACACTGCTTTGCCTATCCACACAGACTAGCCTTATAAGTATGTTCCCTGCTTTCATACTGCCTCTCTGCATGACCATTTTATCTTTCTTTGGCACTTTTGAACTGTCTCTTGTGACTTTCATTAACTATAACAGTGTTGCATAAAAAGGGACCTCAACAATGGCACAGCTTTAAAAGTAAGGAAAACTATTATACTGCCAGAACATCTTCCATGAAAAAGGACAGGATTTGAGTTTCAAGATACAAAAGTGTAAAACTAGAGCAATAATAATGTTCTTACCTGGTACAATCACTGCCAAGACAGGAACAAACAAGTCAAAGCATAATACTTGATCAATGATGAGCAAAAATATAAACCTCAACTAGATGCAAGTTCTGCAGCAGTTAAGCTCTGGTCCACTTGAAGCTTAAATCACAGAAGCACTTTCTACAAAGGATATATTGTTGAAGCTTAAAAAAACACTTTGCCTTCTTCAGACAAGCTTTTAAGAGAGCTCTCAATGTGTTCTCAAGCTGCATATGCACACAGCTCTGCACCGCCCTTGTTGCCTCTCCTTCCCTCTCTCTCTTTTTTCCTCCCTGCCCCTTACTCTCCCCTCTTCAGACACTTACATATACTTTGGGGCAAGCCCTGGCTAACTTTTTTTTTTTTTGGTGAGACTCCGACAGGCATGACCAAGTGGGTGGAAAAGGGTGGGGTCAGTGAGGTGAAAGGGGACCAAAATGGAGAATGCTAATGTAAGTCAAAAGGCTCTGTACATAGTGCTGTCTGCACTCATGATGAAGGAGTGGCCTTCCACAACAATGGTACATGTCGCAAATAGGGTAGCAGACCCAGACCATTGATGTGCTATATTGGGCATGGCTAAACAAGCAAGCTATTATGAGTCCAGAGTTGCACATGATGCTATGACAGAACAGGGGGTATCTCAGATAGCAGGCTTTCTCAGTAATCTGAGCATCTTAAACCAAAAGAGAAGACCATGCAGAATGTCCCCTACCTCTTCTAATATTGGACAATCTTGACTTTTGGCTTAAGTTTTATCTAGGTAACAGAAATCCTACTTTGCGAAATACCTCCAAACTCTCAAAAGCTCAGCTAACTGCAAGTAATGGCCTTTTTTGGTTGCCCCACCCACCAAGCTCCTTGAACACTCCCTGATCTTAGGCAGACACTAATTTAGCTGAAAGTCACCACCTAGTGGTCAGAAAACACACTGCAAGTGATTGTCATCCAAGAAATTACTCCTCAATAGCCATGACACTCTGGAACTTCCAAAACAGAGGAAAACAGCATGATTCTTTCATAAAAGAAGCAAGGTTTAATTTACAGTTTTACTAAATGTACAGTTCTTTTTAAAAAGTGTCATTATACACAATAAATACAATACAAAATTAATTTGTAGTACTATACTTCAAATTCTTACAGTTCTATTTTTTCCTTTACATTATTATTGTTCTTTTTCCATGTCATTGCTTAAGCTGTGTTTGCTTTTGAATTGTCCAAAGGGCTTCGAAGGAGTCTAAGTATGTGTACAAAAAATAAATATAAATAAATTAGGAGGGTGACCTTAGGGCCTTAAATGTCTGAGATAGTACACAGACAGAAAATACTGACTAAAACAAGCATAACTCAGCCCCAGTCTTCACAACCCCATGACACGGCAGTTTTTGCATTTTCTGCTCTACTATTCCTGATTCAGAGAAAATACAAAACACTGGAGTGTTTGGGCTCCCCAGGAGTGGGACTGAGAACCACCAAAATAACTGATTTTTCAAAGGATGTGTGATTTTACCTGAGGTACACAACTATGCTCCTGGAGATGTCCCCTCCTGCTGAGCTTATTGTCAACAGTAATTTGACACATCCGATCGATCTAATTAAGCTCTTCAGGTGCATCTGAAAATTCTCACCAGATTTGACAGATGGAAATATACTATGAAAGAGGGTAGATCGCCAAGAGCAGCATTGGGTATCCTTGGATTTGCCTTCAACCTTTCTTGGAGGTTGTTAAAGTCGCTTGGGAAAATTTAAGAGGTAATTCTGAGGTTCTAATAGCAACCCCCTCCAAAAAAACAAACAAACAAAAAAACCCTGCACAGGTGTTCTCTGTAATGTGCTCCAGATGGTAGCATGATTTTAGGTCAACAGCTCTGCTACTTCTTTCAATTTCATGAATGTGTCTGTCAATGCCAGTGCTCAATGGATCAGAAACATTTCCTAAAACAAAGAACTTGTTTCTATGGATGATTTTCAATATTTGTCTTTCTAGGGGAAATGCTACACTAACTATTGGGTGCTGATTCAGTTTATGTATCATTGTAAATGACATGATTTTGTGCTGAACCAATTTTACACCGGTCTCTCTCTAGTGGACAAAGAGACCTAATGCCAAAATCAAAAATTACACTGCAGTTAAGTAAGTTCACTTAATATGAATAAAAATGTCACCAAAAATGAACATATACTGTAAAGACAGGATGCTATAGTTGTAATAAATTCATCAGGGACCATAAATCAGATCAATTATTTTTTAAAAAGTACATAAATCAAATTGACAAATGATTGAGCCATCTTACCCCATTATATCATTAATAATGCATTTTTGCAAGAAAAAAGACAGTGAACCCCTGTCAACAACAAACTGATTAGGAACTGGCCTGAAGCTTCCCACCCAAGAACACAAAAAAGAACAACAAAAATGAGCAAAACCATGTCAAAGTGCACTTCATCCTTTCACAAGTACACTTACAGGGCCATATGTAAACCAAGAGAACATTATTCTTCAGTCACCATCCATAGACAAACAAGGCAAACACAGCTGAACAGAAGAAAGTGAAACTCCATTTCACGCCTCTCTCCCTCCCAGACCCCTTATGCCCTTGTCTTTCAGCGTTTACTGACTACAGGGGCTGTTATCTACTGTGAGTCTGTGACACCAGACTTCCATTCTGCCCTCGGCCCCCTACCTGTGGGTGCTGGGACATGGAAGATGAAGATGGAGAAGAAGAGGAAGAGAGAGAGTGTCTGTATGTTGATGAAGATGATGATGATGTGCCCTGGCGGTGATGAGTTTGGTGCTGGTTGCTTAGGTTCGTAGTATGAACCCTGCCCATGGGTCCCCTGCCTGGGCCTTGCTGCAGGTTCAGTATGCTGTCTATGGCACACTGCAGGTGTTCGTTCAGAGAGTCATCCGGTGGGGGACTGCCACTTGAGAAGCTAGCATTGTCCATGTCTGGGGAGTCTGATTTACACCGTTTTGCAGGAAGTGAGGAGTCTCTTGTGCAGGACGTTTCACCTGGAGACGGAGGGCCTGGTGCATGCTGGTCCATCTGAAACGTCCCCAGTGCCCTCTCTCTGTTTTTACTCACCAACCCTTTCACCCTCCCCACACGGTCCCTGCTGTCCCCATCCTCCTCGTCCTCTTTGTCAGAGAACTGCTGCTGCTGTTGGTGGTGATGGTGGTGATAAGCATTTTTGATTCCACGAAAGAATTCGTCCTCTACTGCCATCAGGCCCTGTGAACCAGGGTCACTGTGGGGCTGGGTGGGCCCACTGCCACCCTGCCGCTCCAGCTTCACACTGGCAATCACCGTACGTTCTGATTTTGGAGAGGAGGTGAGGGGCCCTGGGGGTGCCGGTGGTGGGATGGGCAATATATCACCACCCCCTGGTACTCCTGGTCGGTGACGAGGGCTGATGTTCTCCCGGTAGGTTTTGCGTAATGGGAGACGGCAGGTGGTCAACTGAGGCGTGGATGTGGAGGTAGGGTTCCCTTTGACCCCGCCCACTTCATTGTGCTCCAGAGTGCCATTCATCTGGGCAGTAGAGGTGGAAGAGGAAGATGAAGATGACCATGAGTGAGATACAGAGGAAGAAGGGGCAGTGGAAGAAACTGCACCACCAGAGGTGGAACTGGCATGTGTGGTCACTGCACTGAAAATGGTGGAGGAGGTGGGGTTACAAGTTGGGGGTGGAGTCCTAATAACTGTGGCTGTTTGGGTTACATGGGGTCTGCTTTTGGACAGTGGCTCAGGGGTCTGTGGCTGTGGGGTGTGTTGGGTTTGCGAATGAACAGGGTCTAAGGCAGTGTTGTGGACCACTTTGCTGAACCCTGCCTCCTGCTTTATCTTCAACTTTAAGCCGATTCGCTGCCGTGCCTCATAGGTCTTGATGGGTGGTTTGCTGGTCCGCTGAGGGAGCGTATCATCGTCGTCATCAGCAGAACGAGTGGAGGAAGAGGTGCGGCCAAAAGAGCGCTCAGAGGCCTGTGCTGCAGGCTCTGGACTGGGTCGTACCACTGCTGCAGGTGTAGGGGAGCAGCTAGTGGACCAGGACACCAGTGCTCCCCCTCCTCCTTGTTTTATCACTAGTTTGGTGGGAGGGAAAGGAGAAGGAGTGGGAGCTGCAGTGGTAGCTGCAGTGGTAGCAGGTGTAACTGAGGGAGGAGCTGGAGATGGGGTTGCTGCTGCATGAGGTGCTGCAACAGCAGATGGCCCTGTTCGGACAGAGCTCAGCTCAACTGGTGTAGGCCTCACAGCACTGTCTGCAGTTCTGGTCAGCAAACATGAGTTTGCAACGAACTCCTCTGCAGAGAAAGCAAAATCGTGTTCAATAAAAATCACACCCGTAACTAATATTGATGCATTTACAGAATTGGCTGACCAGACTGATGATTCATGCTTCCCTCTTACACCTGTTTTACACATACAACCTCGATGTGACGAGCAATGTGGCAGCATGACTGCTATAACATGCATGTGCTCACCTTTCATGCATACTGCACCTGCACTGCACCAAGTAGCAAGTTCTACTGTCATTCTTTTTTACAAATGAACAAGTAAACACATACATAAATATAATCCAATCAATTACTTTTCTGTTTTTATTTTTGATTGGTCACTCGTTTTGGCCTACAGACTTGCTGCAAAATGTGTCTACAACACGAAAATGCTGAATTGCAGAACTGCTGTCGTGGTTATTCTTTAATTAAATTATTTTTTTTTAAATAATGTATAAAATAACATTTATTTGCTTTTCTTTGTTTCTTGTACATTTGTTTCAATAGTTTATTTCATTGTGTTTTACTGTGTGATGCATGCAATAAGTGTAAAAAATAGGCTGGATGCCTAACCAGTTAACACAGGACCTGAAATGAAAAGCAAGACATTTTGTGTTTCTCACATTACCAGAGGCAGTGTGTGTGAAACAGGCCTTAAACAAAACAATTTAGTATATATTCTTCCTGAAACACCTAATACCATTGAAGTGCTTGTTTGAGAGCTCATTAACTTAATGTCAAAAGGGAAAATACTGAACTGTATAGTGGCATGTCCATGCATAATTGAGAGTGCCTCCTCTTCTCATTCTTATAGAGTGTAACTGGCTGTTTACCTGGCTTTTCTTTAGCCAGTATCCTATCCTGGTTCAACGCTATCTTCTCTTCCTGGATGAACATCCTATCAATCATCACCATCTCAGCAGAAGGACCCAGCCTCTACTCAGGACAAACACAAGAAAAAGCACCAATAGCAAGTCAGTGTCAAGACAGGGAATGACAGAAAGGGAGAAGTAGTTAAGACTTAGAGTGTAAGTATGTGAGCCTACCCTTGATTCCTCAAACAGCAGGTGACGATATTTGTCCAGCATAGCTTGTGTACGTTTTAGAAGTTGGCAGGAGACATTTTCAAACTCATCATCCACTGGGCAAAAAGGAAGAGAGGAACTGTTGCGTTAACTGCAGTGAAGATAACTACACACAAACTCAGTTGTGAAATATCAGGGGCTGGATTTATGTTTAGCAAGCTAGCCAGAGGAATTGAGTTGAGCTGAATAAAAGCTCAAGCGATCTAGTTTGCAATGTGAAAGAGTGCAATTATCATACTGCAACTTTTATTTTAGCTTACATTACTAATAGGTGTTTTAAGTGGGGAAATATAATCTAACATGGACCTTGCGAACATGGATGTGCTGTGAACATAACACCACAATCACAACTAACTGCCAGACTGGCACACTCAGCATTTATGTCTCAAGCCAGAAAAAAGTGGATTTGCTGGTTTTCTTGGCCAAAAAAAGGCCTGGATCTCAATTTATAAAAAATAATCAGTAAACAAAACTTGTTAGAAAAATATATATTATATATTCTGCCCAAATCGTTCAGTCCTCTATTTCAGCTGTATCATGTATACAGGCCTAGGGGCTATACCTTTGCGGTAATCTTGAGGGGAGGGAGCCATGCCTTGGTACAGGTGGTAGGGCAGCAGTCGGTGCAGAGTGTCTTCGAAAGAGCGGAAAGGCGAGCTGTAGTCCGGATGCAATACAGAACCCTGAAGCTTCCTCAGTTGTTCCAGCATTCTACATGCACACACGCTCATTAGCACAAAATCCAGACAAGCCTTCCATCATGTTACTACTACACTTTATTTATATGAATGGTACTTACCGCGCTTCTTTGCTGGGCTCCATACTAAAAGGTCTTTTTAAAGCTGCAGTCTGTGGAAGGTCATACAAAACAAACTTAAAATATGCAGGGCAACATATTAATGTATGCCTTTATATTATACATGCAGCAATACTGTAATAGTATTTCGCTAGCAGCAATGAATCTAACCCTTGCCTGTGTTTGAACAGGAGCAGGAGGTTGTGGTGCAGGCATCTGCGAGAGTCCACTACTCAGAACCTGAATCTGTAACCCTGGTTTACCTAATGTGAGCCCTCCAACTCCACTTATGACCCCTGTCTTTGCCTACAGTGGATCAAATATTAATACAAAGGAATATTAGAATCATGATTAGCCTTAAGTATATATTATGGAAATTTAAATCAGCAATTAGTAAGAGACTTGAAATAGACAGCGGACAAACATCAAATACCTGAGCAGCCTGAGCTAGGTTTGGGGGGGCTATTCCCTGGTTAACCGAAACCACAGCAGGTCCTGAAGCTCCAGAAAGTACCTGTGTGTCGTTTGAACCTGAAGGTCAGACAAGAAAACCGTTAGTGACAAGAAAACAATCAGACAACACAATTCTTGCAGGGTGAGGGCATAAGAGTGGTAGCCTACCTGTAGCAGAGGACTTGACAAGCACAGATTTCTGCTGTAACAGAGGTGGGACTGATCCACTAATAGCAGTGCCAGCTGATGACGTCACTACCTGGGCTGTGGGCTGCTCAGGTAGTTTGCTGAACTGACTTGCAGCCTGAGGCTGAGACACCTGGCCCTGGGCTTGAGCTTGAGCTTGTTGTTTGGCCTGGAGTAGGATGTTTTGCTGGACCTGAATAAACATACAGTTCAGGCTTTACAATCTTTGGATTACAAAAAGCATCACATTTCATTCTGGTAATTTTGCTTTTAGTTACAAATTACAGATCCAGAAACAGCCATCATATGAGAATATCATTCCACATTCATGCTACTGTACAGACAGTAACTTAGTGGTACTGTTGCTATGCTTGGAATTTCAGAGGGTTTAATTCCCAGTGCTCTGCTTAACATTGACCACCCTCAAACACAATCCATGACAGGCAACTGGCTCCATAAAGTCTACCTCTCATTGGTACACACTAAAAACCTCAATACCAAAAAAATTATGCAAAATTCTTAAAAAAAACAAATAAATAAATAAAAAATATCATATATCTTTTGGTGTTAATTGTGCTTTTACAGATGTGCAGATTATCCAAGCCACAATGCACTAACACAACCCAATACCATGAATAGAGCCTAGCTTTTGAACTTTGGACAGTCCATTTTTTCTTTGGCCCGAAGAACACAACATCCATTACTTCTATAAACACTCTGAAAATATGGCTCGTCAGACCACACTACGTTTCCACTGTGTCTGTGGTGGTTCTGGACATCGTTGACATAAGGCTTCCACTGTGCATAGTACAGTCATATCTTGTATTTGTGGATTAATGCCAAAGAGTGTTTATTGACAATGGGTTATCAAAGTATTCCCAAGCCCATGAGGTAATATCAATCACAGAAGCATTTCAGTTTTTAATGCTGTGCCATCTGAAAAACTGAAGGTCACAGGCAATACAGCTGTATTTTTTTTTTCAGCCTTGCCCTTTATGAGATTGAGATTTTATATTTCTCCAAATCCCTGATTCTAATGATGCTATGCGCTGAAGAGGGTGATCTTCCCAAAATCCTTACAATCGGTCATTGAGGAAGATCGTTCTTAAACGATAGGACCATTTGCACTCTACCAAAGGTGTTGAGCCTCAACCCATCCTTGCTAATAAAGGACCAGGCCTTTCCTGGATGCTCTTTTAATGCTCAATACATAATAAGCATGACTTACACCTGTTTACCACTTTTATGATGTTCCCAATCTTAACTAGCCCCTGTCCCAACTTGAAATCTTCTGCAGTAATCAGGATGAATGCATATGTACAGAATAACAAAGCTGATGAAGTAAAACATTAAATGCGTTGTCTCTGTATTGTTTCTGTTTAAATACAGGTCAAAGTAGATTTACAAATCACTGCCTTCTGTTTTTATTGCATTTCATATACGAGACATATGAGATTTGTATTACATGAATTCCACAATGACCTGCCCTCAGATCTCAATGGTTGGAACAATTGTTTGTACACACCATGGGCTTTAACGACCAATACGATTACTCATGCTTTAGATCTTAGCTGCAATACGAAAAACTTTAGGTGTGTCTTGGTGACGGTGCAATGAAGCCTACAATAAGGTCTGACAACATCTTACCTGGTGGAGCTTTTCCAACAGCTGTTTCTGTTGCGGTGAGGGCTGGGCAATCGATGACATGGTTTGTAGTTGGGCGTTAATCAGCTGTAAATGGTGCTGTTGTTCGGCACTTAGGCCTGGCACCGTGATCTGCTGTTTTGCCACTGGCCCAGTGGGGGTACCTACTGTGGGTGTCGCAAACTGGAAGGTGGGAGGTACTGTAGGAGGCTTTGGGGAGCAAGAGGAGGAGGGCGGTTGCTCTTGCTGAAGGATCACAGGCTGAGGGAGTGGCTGGGGAAGAACCTGGGGGATCTGAACTTGAATCTGCTGAGGCTGTGTCTGCTGAGCAGACTGTGCAGCTAGCTGAGGTGGTTGTGGAGAACCCCCAATCTGATTGTGTATTATAAACAATGGAGGTAAAGAGGAAGGCGTGCATGCACGAGTGGGTGTCTGAGACTGAGAGGGTGGCTGGGCCTGGGGCTGAGAGGGAGGCCGGGACTGCGGAGGAGGGTGAGGGGACTGGATCTGTTGGCCTAGCGTAAGAGGTGAAGCCTGAGAGGGCTGTGGGCTGTCAGACAGAGTCGGAGTTACACTGTGAGGGGCCACGGTCTGAGAGGGTGAGGCGCTTTGGATTTTTAGAGCCTGCTGATGTGCCGCTGATGGAACCTAGAGATCAGGAAGCAAGAAGTAAAATCAACATTACCTGAGAATGTCACTTCAATCAAGGATTGCAAGTCATTATTGGTTGGTGGAGGAAACACTCCAGCAATATATAAAAATAAGCAGCATAATAAAACAGGAAGCAGAAATAAGACGGATTCAACTTCTTTTTTGAAAAGCTTGGAAAACAGTTACAAAAGACACAAAGAAAAGAAAAATGTCTTCATTGCACAAAACAGCAATTGTATACATTTCTAATAGAAAGTACTACATATGATTAAACAAGATGTTCTTCACTTGTGGTGGAGGGAACACTGGGGGCCACATTTCAGAGCATGAAGTGTGCACAGTCATTAAATGAACACCATGGGGAACCCACAGGGCTTTTGTTCAACATGTTAAAGAAAAAACAATAACAAAGGTAACCACTGGAGGCAGCAAAGTAAGTAAATCTAGGCCTTGAAAGTTATCTTGATTTTTCTCTTGAGAGGTAGGGAGTAGGGTATGATTAAGGTCAAAAAACAATTATTTAAAGAAAGGTAGAGAGATGTGTAAATAGGATGTTAATAAGGGAGGAGACATGTGCCCCACCTTGACACCAACTAACAAAAAGTTTGTTTATCTGTCCATTCATGATACAAAAGAGCATGAATGAGCGTGACAGTATTTGGAGTTCCTGTGTGTGCTGCGATTTGAAACAAAAACATGGCTGTTGTGTCTTCTGGAATATTAAGTGGAATGGTAAATTCTCTGTCCACCTTTCTAACTTGTTTCAAGCAAATTATCCATGCTTATGCTCCATACATAGACTGCTTAATGTTACAGACACACTTGCAGCATTAGTACAATTTTCAGTGGACGTGACACTGGTCAAGGGTTGAATGGGCATTAAAGGAGAATTATAACCAATTCTTAAATTTTCTAATTAAATGTTACAATGTAAACAAAATCAAGGAGTGGTTTGATATAAAATGCTCCATTCTAGAGAAACTTTCAGTGACAGCAACTGAAGCATTTAACGCCTTAAAGGCATATTTCACATACTTCAAAGACCTTACATGAAATAGTTATGATTTAATTACCCTTTAACATAATGTAAAAGCAAATGTCATGTGTGAGAAGAACTAACAGTCTGATAAAGCTTATGAATCAAACAAATTCCTATCCTATATAAAATTGTTAAGAGTAACAGTACATTTTTGGTAAATAAACTCATGCTTCACTTAGTTAGGCTTAGTAAGGCAAACTATGCAGACACTTGACCTGAACTGGGTTTTCCTTTGAGACACATTTGCCACAACAGATCAACTCCAAAATGGCAGCCAAGTTTTTAGAAATATGATAAAGATACTAAAAATGCAAACTGCTTAGCAAACAATTATTTTTGAATAAAACCTAAAATCAGGTTTGCTAAAGGGGATTCAAATTTTCTGTATAATTAAATCATTTTAAGCGCAATCATTGAGTGATTTCCTGTATATTGCATAGTTAAAGATAAACTGACCCAGTCAGAATTGTTTACATGGTTGGTGATAGGAACTACACATGTGAAGCATTTAATGACTAAAAGCTAGGTCACAGAAAGTTATTACATGAAATAGTTACAAATATGCTGCCTGACGCCTGAAAAATTGTTTTACGATAGTTTTAAAATAATTGTTTGGCTTCTAAATGCAAAATATGTGTTGCAAAAGTGCAAAATGCATAAGTGTTTTTGAAATTCACTCATGGAAACACATGCAGAGTGCTATAAGACAAAACAGTCCCCAAAGAAAACTTATTTTTCAAATAACCACTACTTTATCATTATCAACACATAAAAACTCACATGATATGCAGATTCACTGGGTGTTCTGAATAGTAAATAAAATGGCTGTATTTGCATTGCAGACATCGAGACCTCTGGTTATTATCACCAGCATTGTAAAGAAATCAGACTTGGTGAGTTTCACTACAATGAACCAATTCACATCAAACCACTTCGTTTACATCTCAATGATTGAATTATGTAGAATTTTTGAAAAACCAGCAGAATTCCCCTTTAATTTTCCTGTCTTTTAACATATAGGTAAAAGCTTTGCACTGATGTAGGAACAGCTCCACACAAACCCTCATCTTAATTATTTCAGAAACGCCAAAGCAGAATTAATTACCTTATAAAAGCAATTTCAGCATGCAATCGAATACAGCTCGATAACAGAGCATTTAAAAAAACATACCACACTTCCTGCAGTGACCAAATGGCACTGATCAAAGAACTATTCATAGTAATTGTGACAAAAATGACAATAAATGGATAATTACAGTGTATTATTCAAACAGATTTGCTTTTTTTCAAACCATGTAATAACTTCTTGTTCCTTCATTAAGTTAAACTGTGAATGAATCATGGTTTACGTTTCACTGTTTACTTTCTAACATTTCAATCTATGCTGTATAAGTTGAAGTTAAGTTCTTGAAAAAGAAAAATTAATATGACAAGTGATTCCAAACTTGAATCTTCTTATAAGTATTTTAGAATGGATGTTTAGTATACTCAACTGCCATTTCAAAAATCTGGAGAGAAAGCCTCATTCATTCCACAGGTGACTTAACAATTTTACTGCATATCAAATATGAGGTATTTGCCAAAATTTAAATTTAAATTTAACATAAAGGAAGGAAGAGGCTATGACAAGCAAAAACAGGCAAAACAGCACACTTTATCATAAGATGGCGCACAATACAGTAGCATCATCATCATACTACCACATACTAACTCCAAATTGAGCAGTGGACAAGAAAAGAGCACAGAGGTAAGAAGATGTACAAAAAACTGAAAAAGACAAAATAATGCTGCCAAGCAGGAGAGAAACAGAGCAACTGAAAAAGGGGGCTTAATGCTGAGCAGAAAGGCATGGCAGAAAACGAGGTCGAGTGTGTGTGCGTGTGTGTTGGTAAGGCACAGTTCTGCTAGGAGACAAGGTGTCCCAATATGTAGCAGTGCCAGCAACAAGTGGGTGGGGCTTAGTGCAGAGCACAAGCTCATCTACCTTGTTAACCAATGCTGCCATGTGAGCGGGACCAAGGGAGGGGCTCGGACTCTGCCCCGGGCGTGTTTCGGCTAACAGGTTGTCATGGCCTGTAGGGGCGGAACCAGAGCTGCCGCCGCTGACGATAACAGATGCAGGTACGCCCACAGAGGCAGGTGGGTCTTTCCCTGCTTGGTGCTGCTGGTCCTGACATGAGCACATTTATCAATTCAGGAAGGGGAGAAGTACAACAGAAATCCAAAATGGGGCACGTTCAGCAGGGCTCTACATTGTAAAAAAATGGTCAGACAGACCTAAATCTCAGAAAGCAGACCTGTAAATCTGCAATGGATGCTACATACTGAAACAGCTTAACTACTGAACGTGGCCCTGGTCATTGGTCAGCTTGGGGATTATATTTTCCAGTGATATGTTAGTTTGTTGGCTATTGCACACAGTTTGCAAAATAAAGACTACAGAAAACACACTGACCTGCTGCAGGAACATCTGCACGGGCTCCTGGCTGAGGATCATGCTAGAGCCTGGGGGCGTGAACAACACCTTTCCTGGACTGTGCTGAGCCTGGGGTCCCAAACCCACTGTGGTCACAGAGGATGTAGATGTAGCCACTGAAGACGATGGAGCTGTAGAGGAGGGGACTGATACAGACGCTGAAACTGATGGACCTGTCTGTACAGTAAGGATGGAGGTTTGGGGTTGTGTTTGTGGTTGCACCTGGGGTTGGACAGCTTGCTCGGTTGAGCTACCAAGCACGGTGATGTTCTCTCCTGGCTGGCACTGTGCCATGGCTGCTGCTCCAGTGCTGCTGTTGGTGGGAATGCCACCGGCCTGCTGCTGAAGGGTTGGTTGCAAACTGACTGCAGGGCTCAGCCCCTCTATTGACACGGAATTTTGTATAGGCATGCCCTGTATAACCGTTTGAACATGTCCTGTAACTGAATGAGCTTGATTCTGTGTTTGGGCTATGGAGACAGGCATCTGAAATAGTGTGGGATGACCCATCTGACCAGACTGGAGCTGGATGGGCCCAGAGAGAATGTGGGCAGCACCAGGATGACCCTGTGAGGCCAGTACCTGGCTGAGATTGATGTTCTGATTGGCTGTCAAGATTTGATTGGCAGCAATTATCTGTCCACCTGGTCCCGAACTGGTGATGATGTGACCCCCAGTGTGCTGAGTCAAAATCTGACCTCCAGTCTGAAGCTGAGGCAGGAGAAACTGATGGTTCTGACTTTGTAGTACAGCCTGGGAAGGAATGACAATGCTGCCCTGCTGATTTAGTAAGTGAACGCTAAGGGGTTTACCTGTTGCAGGAGCACCCTGCTGTTTAAACAGAGCTTGGGGGAACTGTGCCCCCTGTGTGGTGGTCTGTGTGCTCAAAACAACATTTGAACCTGGCTTGCCAGTGAGGAAGGCTACATTCTGAGCTGCAGATGCAGGGACTTGCTGCACCCCAAGAGCCTTACTGGCATCATTCTGCAATGCATGCGGGGCTGGAAGTTGCTGCTGCTGCTGCTGTTTAAAGGGTTTGGGTTGGATGGTGCCACCTTGTGGAGGTTTGGGTTGTATTGGAGTTGGTGTACGCTGGATGATAACATTCTGCATAATTTGGCTCTGGGGCTGAGGCTGAGTTTGAGATCCAATTCCTGTGCTTAGGGGAGCACTACTAAATCCTACTATACCACTCGCTGCGGCCATTGTGGTACCACTGCTGTTGGTATTTGTGGTGCTGACACAAACGGCTGGACCATTCAAAGACGGGGACCCTAGAGTGGCCTTGCCTCCCTGAATTAAAAGTCCCCCTCCAGAGCTAAGCACAGAACCTCCAAGACCAGCCTGAGCTCCGGCATTTGCTGCATCAGGCCCGGGTTGTTGCAGCTGATAGCCACCCATGGTTTTAGTCAAGATCTGCTGACCAGACGGGTTGATAGTCATTACAGTGGGTTGGCCCACGACTTGAATCTGTCCAATGCCCAAATGTCCAGTCTGGCTACCATTTTGCAGGGCCTGAAGGCTTGAAATGGGTTGAAGGGTCACATTTCCAAGTCCAACTTGCTGCATGAATGGTTGGACACTGATGGCCTTGTTCATTACCTGCGGTTGTATCTGCAGGCCTGGGTGAGCCAGGACAGAGCCAAGCATGTCTGTGGTTGCACTGGAAGGTGTGGTAGTGGTACCCTGGCCAGGAAAGATCTGAGTAGCACCTCCAATGCCCACCCCAGGCAAACCAGCATCAGGCAGTGGTTGGACCACCTGTGTCAGACTAGTTAGCCCAAAGGAGCTGAGATCAAGCTCAGCTTCTGCTTCTTGAAGGCTCTGCTCTGTGATGTTGGCTTCCGCCAGACTCTGCTGCAGAATGTCACATGGTTCGTGATTTGACCCGACACCATTGCTTCCACCATCGCCACCTCCTCCTGGTGAGCCTCCAAGGATGTCATCATCCTCCAGAAAGTCCAAATCAACGCTGACTCGGGGCAGCCCAGATGGCTCACTCGTCGATAGCTGAGCCTGTGGCTGGACTTCAGGAACATGTCCCTAGAGGAGACAGAAAAGCCAACGTTTGCAAGTGGACATTGGATCAGATAATGGAGGGAACAGGAAATAAATGGTAGGGATGGCTATGAGATGGTAGGCCTCTAACACACCAGAGGCCCAGACAGCTTTATTGATTCACCTTTGATGGTTGCTGGTATGTTTGTATCTGATCTGATGGGTGGGACTGGAGAATGCATGCTACATAAAGGGATGGAGACGAGAGGGTGGGGGGAAAATGGGGGACATTACTCACCCCAGCAGTGGAGAAGAATGAGCTGGACGGGTCACTCGAGCCATCCAAAAGGTCATCAGTGTCCAGCTACAGACAGGCATACCCAGGATAGGATAGACAAATACCACGGCACAGACCAGGACAGGGGCAGGAATAAGATGCAGAAGGGCAAAGGGCCAAAGGTGGAAAGGCAAAGGAAGAGCAAAGTGAAGATAGTGTCCAGACCCACCAGAACGCAAGAAGCACAGAACAAAGTACATGCAAAAGTGAACAACGGAACAGTTAATTAGTTAGAGAAACCAGGAGTCAAAAGACAGGAAACATTATATTAGTATGTCAATTTTGTGACTTAACCAAAGAGGGAAAATGAGAGGTGAAATTAAGAAATGCACCCTTACTGAACAATTTAGAGACAGAAACGATTGCCTAGAGAGAAGCTGGGGTGGGAGGGAAATGTTAAGCTAGTGTGTTGTACACGCGCTGAGAACGCTTTTGTGTGATGGCCAAGGGTTGCTTTTTGAAAATGATGTCTCAACTTTTTCTCATGTTTATTTTCGAATAGGGATAGATACCTTGCAAAACACAACTCAGAAACAACTCTACTAAGTACTCACTTGTGTTTCTGATCCATGAAGAAAGTCATTGAGAGCTTGTGGGTCACTATAAAACATAATGGAGAATCATTTAGATGGCTCAAAACAACAAATACCACTAAGGAGATCTAAATTTTGTGTTTTGTACCACTAGCAAAACAATATTTTCTGAGACAAGCCTTTCACTTACCAAATTACATCTAGCAAGCACCTGCCATCTTCATCATCCATGTCAACTGAAAAGGCATAATATTTTCAAGATAAATAAATCATACATACATTTTTCAACACATAAGAACAAATGGATTTTTTTCTAACAACTGATAAACATTGTTTTATTAGATAACTTTTTAATAGACTATTCTGTAGTGATGAAATGGCCACATACATTAAGGCATGCAAAATTGAACTGCATCGACAATTTCCAAACTTAATAACACCCAGTGTGACACATTTAGCATTTTTAAGAAATACAATACAAGACCTAACACGGGGCAAGAGCTAAAATAATGGATTAAATAACCTAGACGAAATGCCAATATCTGTGCACTGAAAGAGAGTAGCAAACTTTTATTCTCCTGTGTCAGTGATAAGGCTTGAGTAAAAAATACTCTTCAGTCTCAACTATACAGACATGCAATGTTCTACAAAGCAAAATACCCTAAGAAAGCAGAGACTAGTTTTGTACAGTTCATTTAATTAGCACTTGAATTCATTATGCATAGCAACAGTTCATTTATTATATTATTATATTGGGAATTACCACTACCACATTGGTAATTATGTAGCACAAGCTCACAAAGACTAAAATTCTTACAAGTTGTGTGTTTATTTATAAAAGAAAAAAGACTTCAGTACATACTATCTCGTGATGTTTCAGGCTGGTCTCCACTAGCCGGCTCTCAGCCAATCAACATACCCTCACTACTGCTAGCGAGAAAAGACTATAATAAAATTACCAGGATCATGACGTCAAGAAAACAAACCTCAACTTTTTATTAGGAACGACTGCTATTTGTGTGATAACAGGCCATGCAACCTAACGACAAGAAGGAAAAGGTAGTGTTGAAGAACCATTCTTCAACTGCAACAACAGTGCAGGGGAACGGAGGGGGAAAGCGCGGTTTTTCACAATCACTCAAAACAAATGCGAAACATCGAGTTCTTACTAGAGAAACAAACACAGGAAAACCGATGTGAACTGACTAATTATTCATAAACTAGTACACTTGGATGAAGTTAAGAGTTTGAGGTCATCGCAGTAACCTGATTGTTACGTCTCAACCAATTATATGAGCTCTATAAACTGAAACAATCAAAACCACAACATGAAGATGAGGGCAGGGGGCGGCTCGACAAAAGCTAGTTCGGATATGTCTTCGACACTTATCACTCTTTAAAACACACATCAGAGCATCCCACAAGAGAGAGGCATAACAAGACATGAATGGAGACTCTGGACCTCCAGTAAACGGCGGTTCCAGTTAGCTTTGCTTAACTACAACTTGTTCAAAACACCAATTGGTCCAATGCAATTCCTTTCCATTCCCGACCATGCGAAAAGGCGAGAAGGTTTAGCTAATCGCGTCGACCGTCTGTTTTCATCCGTGTTCAAAAGCCTCCTTGATCATCGTTTTGCAGCAATTTCAGTTAGCTGTAGCCAGCTAGCCGACTAGCAGTAATTTTGCGTTAACAGGTTTAGACGCAGCGCAAATAAATCTGAAAAAACTGGATTCATAAAGTGTATGTATTACACGGGCGTTCCGTAAAGAAACGCGGCGCACGAACACCAAATATTTTGGGCTTAGCTACCAATATAAGCAATTGCGTAGCCCAGTATCTTTATCCTTGCGAGCTAAAATATGAGTTTATGTTGGAATAGTCTTGGACCAGGGGGGTATGCTTGGGAATTCGTTGTAAAATCCACACATTCGCCGACTCATGCAAGACTTCGGCTGTATGAACTTGATAGAGGTGAGCTTCGGGATCCGCGTGCAGCATGCAAATGTTGCAGCTTTACAGTAGTTATTGAGATTTATAGAGAAATTGCTACATTGTAACAAACTCACCCGAGACGGTAGAGGTGCAGGCAGCGCGGGGTCTCCAGAACGGCCCTGCACGGGCTCCGAGTCAGGACCCAACCACAGAGCGCACAAGCAGGAAACGGAGGACCGCCGCGTTTGCCTGCTTCATAAACTGATCACCTGTAATAGCGTCGTTGGTCAGCCCTTTGCAGTGAATTTCTCACTCTTCCGAATATCAGTGTAATAGTATCCGCATTTTAATATGTCACAATAATATGAACCATTGGCGTAAGTTTAATCGGTTTTTTGGTTAAACTACGTCTACGTGTTGGCTTACGTGCAACGTCATGCAACGTTAACTCTGTTGTGTATTGCAAGTGATGTTCAGTAATATGGGATTCTGACTGCACATATATAAAAACAATACCATTTCTGTTTTAATAGGTTTATACGAATAATTCGTTCGTAATAATCAACAGGCGTTTGTGCATACAGCTTTGCCCAGGGTCCGGATTCTTTTTATGCCACAGATGTCTATTTTTGATGAAACACTGCGGACTGTGATTGGATCTTATTTTTAAACATCACAAATGAAGAGGTGGATCAAATCAACCAGTTTATTGGATGATTGTCTCCTTGAAAATAAAACTAAAGAGAAAACACGGACTGATTTTAAGTTAGTGGTTTTATAAGGGGCGTGGTGTGTCGTTTTAGTTAGGCCATATGATAGGTCGAATTTGAAGTTGTGTACAGTTTGGGTGTGGCCTGAAAGTATTTATTCTGTCCTAAAGCTTAAAAACGCAATAGACACATTTTAAGGCTCAAATCTTCATCGGCTATGATCTCATTTCAGCTTCATTTATTTAATATGTAGCTTGATTTAATACATATTCAAGTCATCATGGCTTTGAATGAAGTCTCTCTTCCGTCTTAATTCCATCACTCGGTACATAGTTTTACAGTTTTAAATAGTTAGGCATTGGTAGTTATCAAAGAAAAAAATGAATCGTCGCAAAATATCCAGGCTAACAGTTTATGCATATATAATTTCCTCTAGCTAGCACCAGCATTGCTAATTTAAATAAACATATTGTCATCGACGGTCATCTTCTGATTGATTGCACCAAATGATACCCTTTAGGTATTTTCCGATCACCAGGAACTTTCTTTGTGTTTTTCTTGCTATAACATCTCGTGAAAGGTTTCAGAATTAGCTTAAGTAAAAGGAGCAATGGAAACTGTAAGGGCGCACGAACAAGATCCATACAGCCAGAATGAGAACCACTAGCCCATTTTCTTGACGCGTATAAGACATCCTTTCACTTTGCTCGGGGACATCACTCAATCTAGCTAACAATTTAGCAACCAGTCTTGCTGGTTGATAGTGGTGTTACCGTGCCATAGGCCTCATACAACAGTACCCTGAAATCCCTACTCTGTTCGCAGTATTCCTCCTTGCAGACAGTGGTTCCCAAATCCACTCAGGAAAGCAACCCATCGCCGGTGTTAAAGGGGTATGCTTGTCTAAAACTAAAATCAAGTTATTATTGTGTTATGCAATGTGAAGCACAGCTTTGAATCACTCAGCTTATGCATACAATGTACAATGTATACAATCCCCCACATAGCAATAAAGACAATAATGTAATGGCTAAAATACAGATGTGATATTTGGCTTCCTAGCAATAACATTAGCTGCCTGGCCTTCCTTCTGCATCAGCCAGGTAGCAGCCCTTGTGTATCTGCCCCAAAGCGCTTGTAGTTCTTTAAAAGTTCCTCCCACCTTCAAGGCACATCATCTGAAGCGGGTTTAACTAGACAAAAATCACTTTCGGGACTATTGGGGCACCACTCTAGGAGGCAAGTAGGTATGTTTACAATGAATGTAGCAATGGTTACATTGCAGCAGAATGTATTTCTATAGCATTTTTCAGTTATCCTCTGTGCCATGATAGGTATGGGAAAATGACCTCCTATCGAAAATCAAAAATCTACAAGGTGATGATTTTACTATTCAATTAAAAAATGAAAAAAACCTAAAAGATTTAAAGAACTATGGTATAGAGATGCTGGTCGTTATTTACAAACCATATCACGAATAGCTTACATGGTCGTCATAAATACAGAAGGATTCTCATCTGAGATCAGATGTTTCATGAACGCCATCAATAGCGCCATCTGTCGGTAACAGTTACTTGTGCCCATAGCAACAGTACTTCACGACAGTTACACGCCGTATTCATGCCCACCGGTGTCGTACGTTTTGCAGAATCACCATGGCGTCTGTATTGAAAGAGACCGTAGGACTATATGAAACGTTAAAAGCTGAATGGAATAAGAAAAACCTGAATTTAAACAAATGTGGAGAAATACTGAGCAAACTCAAGGTATTGTTTATGATTTTTGTTCATCGGCCGCCAAAATATAGCTTAGAAAACTGGAAATAAATTACTTTCTCCGAATAACTAAAGACGTGAATGTGCTAACTAGCCACCGCGATTTAGCCAGCAACTAGGTTAACGTTAGCTATTTGCCAGCAATAATCCTACATTTTAGATAGATCATTCAGCTATAAATAATGGGCTGTTCTGGTGTGATTATTCGCTTGTATTCGTCGAGTTAGCTAGCTAATGGTGCGAGCTGTGTTAATGTTTTAGCACTTAACGCTCAGTAAGCTGCAAAGGCAAGCTAACTACCTAGCCGTTAGCTAGTTGGGTGAAGTTGATGCATTTGATGACGCAAAATGCTTTATTGACACTCATGAGTGTCGATCCGTCTAATGTTACTTTATCTTTCGTATACGCTGTTAGTTATTAGTTAACAATAGTAAATGCAGCCATCTTGAGTGATCTTTTTTGTAGTTCATGTAAGGAAAATCACTTTTTTGTTTAATACTTCTGTTAAAAGATTTAAATTGTTTCTTTGCAGATTTCTCTTTTGGAACTCAATTTCTTACCAACCACTGGGACCAAACTCACAAAACAGCAGCTTATCTTGGCCCGTGAGTAAACGTGGAAGACGAACAGCTTAGCATTTCATCACTTTAATTACTATGGGGATACATACAAGTATATTTTATATTGCAGGCGATGTGCTGGAGATTGGAGCTTTGTGGAGCATCCTGAAGAAAGACATCCCCTCCTTTGAACGATACATGGCTCAGCTGAAGTGTTATTATTTTGATTACAAGTAATACTTGCCTTCATGCCAGGAATTAAAAACAAAATCAGTATTAGGTGGAAAGTCCCATGAACATCTTATCTTACACTTTAGTATGATTACTTAATTCATTGAGTTGTGCATTAGTGCATCTTTAGTCAGTTTTTTGTTTTATTTGTTGTTTGCTTATGAACATAACATAATTGGCACTTTTTTTTTAACTTATTGGAGGTTTGTAACTGTTGTTCTCATCTTTTCTACCTCATCGTCCCAAACAGGGATGAGTTGCCAGAGTCAGCCTACATGCACCAGCTGCTGGGTCTAAATCTGCTCTTCCTGCTCTCCCAGAACAGAGTATCTGAGTTTCACACAGAGCTAGAGAGACTCAGTGCTAAGGACATCCAGACTAATGTCTACATTAGACACCCAGTTTCATTAGAGCAGGTAAGAGAAATGTATTGGAATTGTAATAGATATGAGTCAATTCATGGTTGTGTCATAGTAAGTTTGTGATTGCCAAGCAGGACTCTATAGTTTGAAACATTTGTGTTTTGTTTTCTACTTTAGTACCTGATGGAAGGCAGTTACAACAAGGTCTTTCTTGCAAAAGGAAACATCCCTGCTGAGAGTTACACATTCTTCATAGACATTCTTCTTGACACTATTCGGTAAAAATTACTACTGCCATGGGTCTGTTGTTCTTTGAATAGCTCTTTTCTAGTTTATTAATAGCAAATATGTTTTACATTTTAGTAGGAGCATGTGTTGTTATAGTACTTAACATGTTTAATTCCTGACAGAGGCTTTTTTAGGCTTGATATCAGACTGATTATGGTGGGTAGTTTCCAATCTCACTCCTGGAGACCCTATTCTTTGCATCAAGGTTGTTCAATTGCAGTCTGTGCTGGATGCCAGCCCTCCACAACTGGAATTTAAGAATTCGCTCTGCACAACTAACATGCCTAATTCTAGGGCTTTTTATCAAAATTCAGTATTTTTAACAGTACATACCAGATTACTTTGTGTATCCAAATTTCAGTATCTAAATTGTCTCATTAGCATCAGGAAACCCAATAAACATGTTTGTCTCAAAATCTAGACTGCTGATTGGCTGTATATGTTACATTATAACAATATGTCAACACAAGTAAGCACATCATAAATTCTTTGTGGTGCTCCCTTTGATTACTATTGCAATCCATTGCAACATATGACTTATGACAGTTTAATATTTTTTTTGGACTTAAAAGAAGGTAACAAAAACTGCATAGATCATAAATCATTATTGAAGTCAAGGTATCAGTACTGGTATTAAATGTTGCCCTGTTGTACTGAGATCTTTGAAATCAGTTGGGTGTTTTAAATTAGAGAAACGCAAAAAATTGTGGTTCCCAGGGCTGGATTAAGGATAATGTTACACAACCATGTATATTTCTGTACATTCTAAATATGATTAACATAGTTATGGTTAATCAAACAATTTTTTTCAAATTAAGTTTCAGTGAACAGTGCTTTTATAATCACAAATCTTCAATGTTTCTTTTCCAGTGATGAGATTGCAGGATGTATAGAGAAAGCATATGAGCAGATTCAGTTCAACGAGGCCACAAGGGTGCTTTTCTTCTCCTCCCCAAAAAAGATGACAGAATATGCTAAGAAAGTAAGCATACATCTTATAGCTAGGTGCAACAGAATGTAGTTCCATTGTGGGACTTCGCACTGACTCATACATTGTCTCCCTGTAGAGAGGCTGGACACAGAGCCCTGATGGTTACTACTCCTTCAGCTCCCAGCAACAGCGGACAGAGGAGGTGACCATCCCTTCCACAGAGCTGGCCCAGCAAGTCATTGAATATGCAAGACAGCTTGAGATGATTGTGTAATGCAGTGACAGATGAGCCCACTTCACTGCCCTCAACACACACACACACACACACACACACACACACACTCTCTTTGTATGTATACATAATAATCCATTGGGCTCAAGCCACATTTAAACCCCCAAAGCATCATTTAGATGGCGGAGCGCTAAAGTCATACACACAGACACAGAGACAGAAAAGGATTACTTTACACTTTGCCACAGTGAATGATTCTCAAAACTGTCATCATTTATTATACACTTGTGCCTGCATGACCTGACATTGGTTGGTCTTTCTCTCTGTGTATCTGTGTTTGTGTGTATGTATGTGAGCTGTAATGTAAAATGTGGTGTTTTCAATAAAGTTCTTGCATCACAGAGGCATAATTTTATGAGTTTCAAGTAAAGTGACGACACATCTTGGTATAGTCAGTTGTTTATATGTTGCCATTTGATCATGGTTTTTGTATTATTTTAATGATAAAGCAGATGTGAAGGGACTGTGATTTTGACTGTTTGCAAGTTTGAATTTTGTCAGAAGCCAAAAACTCATTGACCTGCTTGTTGTTGCCCTCAGAGTGTTTTCAGAATTACTACGCTTTTAGATGCCCCTGCCTTGTATCCTAGCAACTGAAAGAGGGTTGCTGTGAAAGTTGGTGGGTATTTTTTAATTGGTCATTTCTTGTACCCATTAATGAACTGAACTCCACTTGATAAAAAATGCAGCTGCTCTGTGTCACAAACAGTTGTGGTAATTCTTAAAAATAAACTTTTTTGACCCTTTACTTGGTTTTCTGAAATCCGCTAACCACTATTTTAGTGTGAGAAAATGAATGATGTGTGAATAAGCTTGGCCCATTTCACATACAGAGCATTTATTGAAATATCATATCTGGGTTTATTGTTTTCCTGGTGTAAAGTTACTTTCAAAGACAAAACTCTCTGTTTTCTTGCTTCATTCTAAAAGCAAGGGAGGCTGCTAATGTTGCTGTAGTTACCCAGGGTGGTTCACATAGGTAGTTCTGTTTCACATCGAGCCTAATGGAAAAAAGAAGGACAGTAAGCTATACGATCACAACAATGCTTGGTGGTATAAAGCTACTGTTTGTGTATTTTGGTTCTTCTATGTTCTTGAGTACTTGTTCTACTTTTTGAAAAAATTTAATTAGTAGTTTTTAGTTCTGCAGTACTCCAAGAAATTGGCCCCAGACTGTGTACTTGAATTTCATGATACATGCTCTGCAATTTTTGCATTTTGCCATAAACCTTTACCACATTTACTTACTTTTCATCCATCAACTTTCAACTTGTTTGGTAAGTAACTGTGCAGTATACAGCAGGTTTAAGTTCTCTTTCACCACAGGCAATGGCAACAAAGCACATTGTGCAAATGTCATGGTCCACCCTTTATTTAATTTCCAGTCAAAATAACCATTAAGTACACATTATTCATTTTTCACAAGATATTTCTGAGGAAATAAGTTATAAAATAATATATTTGCATAAGGAAGAAGACAGTCAAAGGAAAAGAAGAAGAAAAAATCTAAAACTGGAGTTAAAATTAAAAGAAAAAACAGAGAAAACAGTGAAAGGAAATTTCCTGAAAAGAATGTAATAAAGGTAAAAGACACTACTGAAAAAAAGTGATATTTAGTTGTTGATGCTCCTGTGCAGTTTTCTGTTAAAAATGTTTTCTGCTTTTTTTCTGACGCAGAAAAATTGATAATGGCATATAATGGCTGTTTGACTGTAAATGAAGGGTTGTCTCTGACTTTTGCACAGTGCAGTATTTTTTCTTTGATCCTCAAAGGTGGTCATTATACATTTCTAACATGCTACCATGCTCACATCATAGCTAACCACACTTAAGCTACAAACGGAGCTCACCATTGTCTGATGTTGCGGGGTAGTGGAGCGCTGCATCTGTGACGGCACTGGGCCCTGCATGTACATGCCAGATCAGTGGTAAAGGGATGCCAGCGACCCTCAGGATGTGATGGATGCCCAGAAGATGGAGAAGGAGGAGGTGGTGGAGTGTCCTCTATTTTCATCTTTATTACCTCCTTCTTTGAATTCATGTTCTTTTTGGTCTTGGAAAAATGTTTTCTCTTAGCCTTTGTCTGAGAGCATGGAGCAGTAAGGATGTTAAGAGGATCTACAGAGGTGTCTCGCCCATCTTCAGATGGTATCTCTATATTAATCGATTCTGAAATCACAGTGGAATTTGAAAAATCTACCATATCCTTAGTGGTACAGTCTTCTAAGACTTGGCTGACACATGTTGACGACAGTGACTTCGAAGGCTTAAATGAGAAAGAAGCTTTTGCAAATGAAGGTGATTGAGATGCTGAAAGGTGGACGGCTTGATTAAATGTGGCAACCAGATTTTCAACTATATTTTCATTACAAGGCGGGTCAAAAACCTGGTTGAGCTGTGTAAATGTTTCTAAATTTGTTTCACTAGATCTGTACACAGAACTGACCGTATTGCTTAACTCAGCAAGAAGCTCGTCATTAATGTAGTCTGGACAGTTCGATATCTGCTTCTCTGCACCCCCATTGGTCTCTTTCTGAACTTTGTTGCATGCTTTCTCTTTGCTCTGCTTATCATTAGCAGAGGATAAAATGTCTTTAGTTTTTGCTTCTGCCTTGGATTTACTCTGCCTTATGAGCTTCTGTCTCATTCGTCTTGTGAGTGAACTGCCAGGAGACGAGCATGAGGAACAGGCCAAGGTGCTTTTGGTACTGTTGCTGGTGTGCCTTACTGCCTGAATGATTGAAATGTATCTTTTCGGCAGTTCCCTTTGGTGTGCCATTGCGGCAGTTGGTGAAGTGGGTGGTTTAACAGTGGTGCCTGTGTTGTCTGTAGATGGAACAGTAATGTAATCCTTTGTTAAAGGCTGATGTCCTGTTTTCTCCTTAAAGGTTGACATGGTAGGTGTTGGTAAGGGAGGTGAATTTGCAGTGCTGATTTTGTGTTTTGCCAGTTTCATAGCTGTAGCTGCTGCTGATGTTTTGTATTCTGTTGTTTTGAATGATACAGGTCCAGGTATGGAGAAACAGTTACTATTTTGAGGCTGTGTTGGATCTTCAGCTTGTTTGGTTGGTATCTGATTACTGGAGAATACTTTTGTTGGGAAGGTGCTGTGTACTGGAGTTGGGACAGCTGACTGAACATGCTCTGACTGAGTAGGCAGCTTATAGGTACATTTGTTTATCTTGACTTTCTCAGCAGTGTGCATTGCATTTCTGTCATGGCTTGGAGGACTGACTTTAAGAGGGGTAGCCTCAATGGCCTGCTCACCACGAACGCAATGCAAAACTCTCCTCATGTCTGCTTGCATTTGTGTGTCAGGCAGAGCTTCTTGTTTCTTGACATATTCAGTCCTGCACAGAAACCCAGTGGATGAATTAAACAAGTGTAGCGAATCCACACTCACACATTTGTAGGTAGAGTCTAATCTAATCTGAATCTAATTTAAGCATTTAAACTACAGACATCTAATTTAACATAAAACACTACCCACCTGGAGTCAATCTGAGCAACAGTTTGATCCACAGTTGCAGGTTTTCCAAAACCATAAGTATCTTCTGAAAGATTTTTGTTTCTGTCACTATAGCCACACTTAGCCAGGATTTGTGTCTTTTGGGTTCCAGCATTCAGTGGTACGGTAGCTGTTCCTTTAGACTGGGATGTTGTTGTACATGATTTCAGCAGCTGAACAGTCCCAGGGAGCACAAGCTTTGGATATGCTTCCTGTGATAGAACTGATGTCTTCTTGCAAAAAGAAAAATGGGGAGGTGTATGTGTAGGTGGTGGGCAAGCAGACTTTGGGTCTACTTCAGGAAGATTCTTTGGGAGCAAAGCTGTAAACAAAGTAGGAGCAACAGACATTGAGGTTTGATCTGAAGTTGATTTAGCCTTGGTATTGCCTCTAGTACTCTCACAAATTTCTTCTGAGGGACTGGAGAACTGTTGCTCATGGTAGGCATCAGAGGTTGATGGTGCAGCCTGGTGTAGCTGTGGGAGCACAGTGATTTTGACAGGAAGACAAACTGATGGCTTTGATGAATCAGAAGTGGTGACTGGTGGCAAAGGGCAAACTGAAGATCGGTCCACACTAAATAAAAATTCAGTGATGCCCTTAGATTTAGAGGGGAGTACAGATCTAAACCTTATGTTTTTACTCTCACAATCTGTCTTGGACCCTGCCACCTTCTGTCTTTCCTGCTTTAGATTCTCACACTCTGATAAACGTTTCTTCTGCTGCTCCTGCTCAGACTGAAAATTGCCCATCCTTTCCTAGTCATTCTCTCCTAAATATGAACACATGGGCCACTGTTAGCAAACAACCTAACAGACATTTCTTATTCTAAATTAATCACTGTTAATTTCCAGATTTACATATTAACTAGCCCAAATGACAATGCCCTCCATAATGTTTGGGACCAAGGCATCATTTTTTATTTGCTTCTGAATTCCAGTTATAAACTGAAACAATTCACATGTGGTTAAAGTGCACATTCTCGGATTTTAATATAAGGTATATTTATACATTTTAGTTTTACCATGTAGAAATTACTGCACTTTTTGTACATAGTTGTACATGATGTTCTGACGACGCATAGGCAACTGCAGCGCTTGATTCAGAAACTAGCTGCCTTGCTCCCGCGAGATTTTAATGTCATGTGACGTGACGTTGTGCAGCGCTGGCGAAAGTCCGACAACCAGCATGCACCACGTTAAGTCAGTGCTATGCAGTTGTGGTCGACTTAATGCGGCCCTGCGCAAAACCGACTTAACATCAATCACCCTGGTTGGCTGGAATCTCCAATGACAAACGTGATGTGTGTTACGTATGTTACGGTTTTATTAAGAACTTCAGATGCGTTATTTCCTATGTTTTTCTCCTATTCTATTCTATCTCCTCCTTCTGGCAACTAATTTTTTACATATGGCCATCATATACTATAGTTTTATTTCCAGCACTTATTTCGAGTGCTTCAATTTCGTCTGCGACAAAAAAGGCAAGCGCTGTTAGCCCACGCTTGTTGTGAGTGTTTTAATACCCCACCCCTGTAGTCAAACAGCAGTTCACGTTGACCAACTCAAAAACGAATGCAGCCATAGGTTGCGGTTGATTTAATGCGGTCCTGCGGAGCGCTGACTTAACATGATGCATGCTGGTTATAAATTATGGTTGACTTTCACCGGTGCTGCAGAATGTCAACATGTCATCTGACATTAAAATCCCATGGGATGCAGTTTTTGAAGTCAGGCGCTGTAGTTGCTCTCCATCTGCTGCACAAGGTACAATATGCCTTTGTGATGTCAGAACATTCAAAACAGAACTGTTTATGTTGAATAGTGTTACTGATTGGCTGCAGAGAGTGAAAATGTCAATCTGTGCGACAGTATTTTGATCTATGATCACTTTATGCCCTACTAGTTAAGATGTAAATGTTTAAACTACTTTTAATATAATGTTTAGGTTCGAATTTACACCCCAACTTACGATCAAACACTCAGCTGGTGCAACTGGCTGCTGGGCTGTTTTACTACAGGCCATGCAGTTGTAATACGAGCAGAATGTGGTTTGGCATTGTCTTGCTCAAAAAAAGATGGCTTTCCCTGAAAAAGGTGTCATCTGGATGGCAGCATATGTTGCTCCAAAATCTATATATATCAAT